TAATATCTGGAGAAAAAGTAAACTTAAAGTTAGTTGACAAGTGACTGTGTTTGTTTTTGTTTCACTCTTGCGGATGAACCAACAACACAAAAATACACAAAAGAACATTTCACCGCGAAAACTGGCAGGTTGAAGGAAAATACACCAATTAATAAGCCGCTTTTACTAAAGTAAAACAAAAACAGAAATAGAAAATATATCCTTCTTATATACATATACAATCGACTATTACATTCATTCTAGAATCCGACACGTGCATTTGGATAAAACGTGCATGTTTCCTTGATTTCAATACGTTATATTAACTTTCATGACTGACTGCTTGTAAGTAATCAGGGGATCGCTAAGTCACAAATATCACGGTTGGCTATCTCGCCCTCTCACCATACATAGATGATTACATACATGCATACATAGGCACATACATATCTATATACACATGTATATAAATGTATATGTGTGTGTGTGTGTGTGTGTGTGTGTGTGTGTGTGTGTGTGTGTGTGTGTGTGTGTGTGTGTGTGTGCAAGAGCGTGTGCGTGAGTGTTGTAAATATATGTACATACGTATTAACACCCATATATAGCCTCCCATCTCTATTTTTGTTCGAATAAATCCTGTGCCCTTGTCGGTAACACCCTTGGCCTAGTTACGGAGGCTACTTACCTATTTCTGGTGGCGGAAAACTAAAAGCTCATAATCTGATATTCTCAAAGAAAGAAAGTTATCCACAATGTCGAAAGGTAAAAAATATACAATAACAACCGCCCACTAGTTTTAGCTCACAAAATAACACAATTACTTAAGGAAGAGATGTGCACGTTTACATACAGATTTTACTACTGTAAAGAATGGATTTAGTCTATGGCAGCGAGAAAGGAAACCAGGAAAACAAAACAAAATGAGAGAGAGAGAGAGAGAGAGAGAGGAGAGAGAGAGAGAGAGAGAGAGAGAGAGAGAGAGAGAGAGAGAGAGAGAGAGAGAGAGAGAGAGAGAGGGAAGGAGTGAAAAGAAAGGAGAGAGAGAGAGAGAGAGAGAGAAGAGAGAGAGAGAGAGAGAGAGAGAGAGAGAGAGAGAGAGAGAGAGAGAGAGAGAGAGAGAGAGAGAGAGAGAGAGAGAGAGAGAGAAGTAAATGAAAAGAGAGAGTAAAGTAGACACGGATATTCGGATGATAAACAAGGCATCACATAACCTAAAGGCCTAGAGAAATCAAACACAAAGCAGGAACGAAAATAACTGCTAGCCCCTCACATCAGTCACTCAAGCAAAAAACAGCCTCCAGATAATCTATGGTCATTCAATTACATGAATTCCATGCAAAGACTTTAGATTTCATGATACTCAAAAAAATTTCCCGGCTTCTATTTCTTTCTTCGGTGACGGTGGTCGTTGCTGACGGCCATGCATTATAGATGGGCCTGGGAGGAGATGGGGGGGGGGGTACACACGCGCGTGAATTCCCATGCAATCCTTTAGACTTTAGATTTCATGATACGTCAATTTTCGTGTTAACCTTTCTGCATCGCTTTCTATCGCTAGCTGTCTCTTTTCTTTAATCTATTTTTTTCCACACACCCCTTTTCTCTCACTCACTCTCTGTGCACATTGTAATGACACAGGGAATATCTATCTAAATATACTGTATATATACACACATTCATATACATACACACATACACATTGCGTGTGTGTGTGTGTGTGTGTGTGTGTGTGTGTGTGTCATGCGTGCGAGTCTGTAAGTATATCAAGGGATGTATATGTCCCTCTCCTTCCCTCCCTCCCTCTTCATAAAACCCTACGAAATATACCTCCCAGGCATAAAATACGCGGAAATTTAGTTGCGTACAAGCAGTTGATGGAAACGTGTGCAGATAGACGACGATAGAAATATAGACGAACATTGCTCTGCTGGCCAACATAGTGCCCATTGGACCTGCCCATTCGTTATTCATTCGACTGAAATATATTGTGCATGAAATATTTTTAGCTAAGTTACCCCGATCAGGTTACAGACTCGATGGGTCATGCCCGCCTGTAACGTATTTAGGTACAAACTGCAATTACATTAACTATGGCCATTTTCGTTACAACAGCGACCTGGTCGTTTGTTCAAAATTATGACGACTATAAAACAGAAATAACAAAATCGAACAAATCTAATGGACCAGCGATAAACAATCGAGTTTAGATTTTAATATCTCCTAAATGCATGGTTGCAGCATAGTGGGGGAGGGAGGTTGGATAGCAATGTAAATCCAGGAGCATATATTGATAACTATTGTGTGTTGTGGTTGTGACCACGAAGGGAGATGGGGATACGCGTAGATCATGCATGTGTATGTATGTGTATAAACATGCGTGTCCGTATGTATATGTGTAAATATATACATGTGTGTGTGTGTGTGTGTGTGTGTGTGTGTGTGTGTGTGTGTGTGTGTGTGTGTGTGTGTGTGTGTGTGTGTGTGCACCTTTCTATCGATTTATCTACCTATGTATCCATGTTTATATACATCTGTCTATCTATTTCTGTATATATAAGTGCGTATGAGATAGAAAAGAGATAGATAGACTTGAAGACAGACGAAGAAAAGGATTAGTAACGAAAACAAGAGAAGAGAAGAAAAAACAAAAAATATATATTTATAATCCCCGACTTATGTGAGAAAGAATTGTTTCCACGGTATAAAGCGATATTGTTTGCTGCTTCGCAACTCCTGATTATGTTGAATAATGGCATGCAGTTTGCTGCATAGTGTTGTTTAATACTTATTATGATTATTTTTTCACACAGAAACATACACTCACACAGATACACACACACGCACGCACACACAGTATATTGATGCAGGGAATGTTTGTATACATATCCTTATATATTCATCTGCATTCTGCATATGCATTCATGTTTGTGTACGCATTTGCTTCTGTGTTCCTGAGTAGGTCTGGATGGACGCAAGTGTCTACAGTTTCAGCTTCACGAGCGTCCTCTTGCTTTTAAAAAGGCAAGTTTTTTGTTTTAAGTGGAGACCAGTAAAAGAATAATAAAAAATAATACATAAACAAGTCAGTAAATGAATGGATAAACAAAAAAATACTGAAAGAGGGAGCACTCCTACAGCTTCTACAACATACATCAGCAGCGAGTTAATAATATAGCGCGAAAAACATACTTCTGCCTTCACACAATGGCTACGCGACACGCTCTTACCTTCCCTGCCAGTCTGCCTCTCTCTCTCTCTCTCTCTCTCTCTCTCTCTCTCTCTCTCTCTCTCTCTCTCTCTCTCTCTCTCTCTCTCTCTCTCTCTCTCTCTCTCTCTCTCTCTCTCCCCCGCGTGCGACAAAAATCAACCTAATATACCACCCCCCTTGCGGATGTCCTCCGTCCCCCCTTCTCCCTGATTAAATAATTTGGCAACAGGAGCATTAGGGTGAATAGACCTCGACAAGCATTATCTGCTAATCTCATATTTGTATTAACACCTTGGGGGTGGAGGGGGGGGGGGGCACACGTGATGCACTCACAAGGTAGATTACGTGTGTGTGTGTGGTGTGTGTGTGTGTGTGTGTGTGTGTGTGTGTGTTGTGTGTATACGAGCTGTATTTTTACTTATTTGTACTGCAGCTTTCTACAATTCCCTTGTCCATACGTATATATATTTTTGAATTTTGCGTTCTCTCTGAAAATCTAACCATCACTTTATCCACTTATCTGTTTCTCTGCCTCTCTATCCAGCCACGACCGCATCATTTTCATCATCTGTCTGTCAGCTAATCACTCCATTTGGAAACTGATCTGATATCCATGGGCATTATTTTAAAAAGTAAGTAATTATATCCATATATTGGTCATTCCACGGAATTCGTTAAGTCTCATTATAATTTACCGATAATTGCCTTGCATTCCTGTTCCACGATCTCAGTATTCATCTACCATAAATATTTGTTTATCTATTTTAATCTACTTTTCTACCAATGCTCCCTACTCATATCTACCTAGAATCAAACTACCTATCGATGACTGTAGCTACAAATCTCCCCAACCTCGTTAACCCCTGGCCCTGCGTGCTAACAACCCATTTGACGTTTCGTTCACAATCACGGAAATTGTCAGCGATTCCCCCCTTTCCTTCCTTCCCATCCCTAACCCTCCCCCTGGGCCACCTAACCGTGGCTAAGGGGGTGGGGGCAGCACATGGTCAACAAGAGAAAAATATCGATAAAAAGGCAATAAAGAACCGACTTCAATTATGTGCATTAACGCTTTTTTCCATTTTTTCATTCCTTTTTTTTTCCATTTTTGCACGCATGCGCAGGGACGAGGACCTGAGCAAGCATGCAAGCACGCACAAATACATCCAAGGCACACAAACACACACACACACACACACACATCCTCGACTCTGTGTACGTATGCTGCAAATACTAGCAAGTCAAGTTATAGTCTGGCAAGGATATCGGCTAGTATCCTGCAGAGGGTAAAATAAAGTGTGCAATGGTGGCACAGTAATGGCCGACATAGAGCAGGTTGAAAGGGTGTTGGCCTACATGCCGAAAACTGGAGGGTTGCATAAAATAATGTGACAAGGTAACGAGTCAGCACTGTAGGGCCAAACACATCCCTAAGAGACGACTGGCAGGGTGATGGGCCCAACAAGAGAAGAGTCAAGCAGGGTTGTGAGCCTCACAGCAAGGTCAGGCGGGGTGATGGAAAGGAGACCCAAGCAGGGTGGGGTCGGCATGGGCCGTAGAGGAACCTCAGACGGTGGTGAGCCGCGAAGAGACCCAAGCAGGGTATGGTTGGCATGGGCCGCACAGAAATGGTAGGCTGGGTGGTGGACCGTAGAAGAGTCAGCCAGGGCGTTGGCCCACACAGGACAACCACGATTAGGCAGCAAAGAAGAGTTAGCCAGGGTAGTGGACTGTTACGCATGGGCCGAAAAGAGGAGTCAGAAAGGGTGGAGGGCCGCACGTAAGAGCTCGGGGTGTTGATCAAACAAGAGAGTTAGGCAGTGAGCCACACAGTTGAATCAAGCAGGGTAGTGGGCCTCACTGTTGAGTCATGCAGGGCGGAGGAACGCACTGGAGAGCCACGCAGGGCGGTAGGTCGCACTGGAAAGCCTCGCAGGGTGGTGGGGCGCACTGGAGAGTCACGCAGGGTGGTGGGCCGCACTGGAGAGCCACGCAGGGTGGTGGGCCGCACTGGAGAGCCACTGGTGGCCGCACTGGCCAGCCGCACTGGAGAGCCACGCAGGGTGGTGGGCCGCACTGGAGAGCCACCAACTGGAGAGCCACGCAGGCTGGTGGACCGCACTGGAGAGCCACGCCGGGTGGTGGGCCGCACTGGAGAGCCACGCAGGCTGGTGGGCCACACTGGAGAGCCACGTAGGGTGGTAGGCCGCACTGGAGAGCCACACAGGGTGATGGGCCGCACTGGAGAGCCACGTAGGGTGGTAGGCCGCACTGGAGAGCCACACAGGGTGATGGGCCGCACTGGAGAGTCATGCAGGGCGGTGGAAAGCACTGGAGAGCCACGCAAGATGGTGGGGCGCACTATTGTGTGTTGTAGTTGTGACCACGAATGTATGTATGTATATAAACATGTGTGTGCGTATGTATATGTGTAAATATATACATATTTGTATATAAAATACATATACATATACATATGTATGTATGTATGTATATATATATATATATATATATATATATATATATATATATATATATATATATATATATATGTGTGTGTGTGTGTGTGTGTGTGTGTGTGTGTGTGTGTATATATATATGTGTGATATATATATATAATATATATATATATATATATATATATATATATATATATATTATATATACACATGGAGAGCGACGCACCGCACTGGAGGCCCGCACTGTGGGGGGCCGCACTGAGAGCCATGCAGCTGGGCCGCACTGGAGAGCCAGCAGGGTGGCGTACTGCATAGGAGAGTCAACCAAGGTGTTGTACCGCAAAGAAAATTCAGGTAAGATTGTGGGCCACATAGAAGATGCATACAGGGTGATAGGCTGCAAAGGATAGCCAGCCAAACGAGTTGTTGGCCCCACAGGAGAGTCAGTCGCTGTGAACCACGCCGGAGAATCGGACTGGATATTGGGCCGCACAGGATAGCCAGACATGGTGATGGGCCACACAGGAGAATCAGACAGGGTGGTGGGCCGCACAGAGTGTGGTTGGGAGCCACACACCACAGCAAGACAGCCAGTGGCCCACACACGACAGGCAGGCAAGGTGGTGGGCCACACACGGAAGGGAGGCCGGAGTGTTGGGCCACCGGGGTAGACCCTGAGTGTATGCAGCGGCAGCGGACCACCCAAGGGGAGAGTATCCTGTAGGTGGAGTCGAGCCCAGGTAACGCATTATCCTGACGCTCATCCCACAGTCTGCAGCATCCTCCTTCCCTTCCCACCACCCTCCCCCTACCCCCGGTCCTCCTTCTCCTCCACCCCCCCTCCAACCACCACCTCATGCCCTCTTCCTCTTCCCTTGACCTCTACATTCTTCGAAATCCTCCTTTGTTTCAAGCCTTCCATTTCCATTCCTCTTATTCTCTTCAAGACATCCAAATAACCCATGCCATCAACTTCGACCCTCCCCCCCTATCCCTTTTCCCCTTCCTCTCCCCCTCATCCCCATCGCTCTTCAACCCCTAAACCCCCCATCGCTCGGCAGGACTACCTCCCCACCCTGTCATTATCAACCCCTGGCTAGACGTGCACACACACACCGACCTAATTATCACTAGCCCATAGTTCCTCCGCGGTTCAACATGGTCCTAACTAGCGTTCATATACCATTGGTCAAGGGGTTGCGGTCTGCTCCTCCCTTTTTCTCTCTCTCGTTCACTTCTACCTTTCATTTTTTTTTTCCTTTTTCGAACATTCGTTGTGTTTGTTAATTTCTGTCTGTGAACGTTCTCTAATTCTCATTCTCCTCTTCCTCCTCTCTGTCTGTCTGTTTGCCTGTTTATATGACCGCATGTCTATCCGTCTATCTCTCTGTTTGTCTGTTAGCCTATTTGTTTACCTATATTCTCTCTCTCCCTCTCTCTATCTATCTATCTATATGTCGGTGTGTTTACGTATCTCTGTCTCTCTCGCTCTCCTCCTGTCTTTCTGCCTTTTTCCTTAGTAAAGAAACGAGGCTTGTTAGTCCCGCTCTATTAACACGAGGAATACACTTACGGAAACACATGCATCTTTAACACAGCAGCCTTTGCACTGCGGAAAGAATATATCCAAACAAGTACAACCCGCCTGCCCTCCAACAATGTTCCTTTATTCAAGCAATGAATCAACGGCAAAGGTAAATATGAAATCGGAAATGTCAGCGCGATTCAATTTGGACTTTTATATCAATAGGAAAATCCATATGTAGAGCAACAAAGGCAAACCAGCTGAACAACTAAATGCGTAAATATTTTCATCAAAAATATATATACATAAAAACTACGTACAAACAGCTAGAGACACAAAAAAAAAAACAACAGCAAGTATATCATACACCAGATAAGCAAGATACAATATCTTATGCCACAACGATTCACGATTAGAAAAAGCCTCATTATTCTTAATTAGCACAGATTTATGCATATCTCCAATGGCCACGCGGCGCTCCATGTTCGTCATAATGATTACAAATGTTCTAGAGACGTTTTCCAACAACAACGACTTTTCAAGCTCTTATCTGATAGGGAAGTAATCTAGACGATTCATCTTCGGCTCGACCCAACTCGCGTGCAAAGGACTCCCGCCATTCCCTGTCCTATTACGAAGCACCTCAGTAATACGTGGATCTGTTTCGCTTTCCTTCTGTCTATCTGCTAATCTATCTACTGTATAAACATATAGGGAAAGTATATAAACATGTGTTCACGCACACATGCACACATACACATATGTGTATATGTGTGTAGTAGGTTGGCAGATGTACTTCAACAGAAATGGAGACTTGAAACAACTAAATCGACCGAGATAAATCGAAATAAAACATTACTCGACACATCCACATCTATATCAATTTTATAATGAATTCAAACAAACACACATGCACGTATATAATAAACGTATGTATATATAAATAAATAAATATAATATATATATATAATGTATGTATGTATGTGTGTGTGTGTGTGTGTGTGTGTGTGTGTGTGTGTGTGTGTGTTGTATGTGTTGTGTGTGTGTGTGTGTGTGTGTGTGTGTGTGTATATATGTGTGTGTGTTATATATGTGTATATATATAATATATATATATATATTATATATATAGATATATATATATATATATATATAAATAATATATATATATATATATAAATATATAAAATAATATAATATATATATAATATATATATATATATATATATATAATATACATATATACAACAAAGGACAAATGCGGCAAATCTATGGGCGCGTAACCCCCCCTCACCCCAACCCCACCATGCCGTAATCCGGCCGCCCCGCCCGCGCCCCGCCCGCCCCCGCCCGCGGATCGCTAATCCCTGGACACTCAAAGACCTTCACGTCCGGGCCGCCTGATATCTCCTGCTGATCCTTCTGTCTTCATTCACGAGGGAGATGTCATAAATAAAGAAGGACAAGAGAAAGGAAAATGCAAAAAATATGACGAGAAAGGGTAAAAAGCGACTTGGTATTTACATAGACGAAAGTCGCCGTAATCCCGGAACTGGAAGGAGAGTCACGGCAAAACCCCTTCCTCAACCCTCCCCCTTCTCCTGCCCTCCCCCCCCCTTCTCCCCTCTGCCCCCTTCTCCTCCTAACCCACCCCCTCCCCCTGCCCCACCTCCTCCCCCTGTTAACATCAACAGAAAAATGGAAAATCCAGACCTTCATTTATGACAGTAACAACACAGCGGTCACTACATTCTCTTCTACTACTATAACGGTCTTATTCACTCTAATATCCAACATAAAATGCAACTAACATATTTTGTCTATACACATAAATCTGTATCTATCTATATATTTATCTGCATTTATTTATCTATCTATATCTTTCTATTCAGTATATAAAAAAGGTAAAAATGTAAACTTTTAATTTCTTCTCCTGAATGTGTACATGTTTGTTTGATTAAAGCATGGATGGAATAACTTAATAGGGTAACTTTTTCATACTACATGTGTGCTTACTGAAAAACACAGGCTTACTGAAGCATACCAGACACAATAACCAAATTTGTGTTTTTTATTTTATCTTTTTATTTTTTTTTATCTTTTATTTTTTGGACGAAACAAAATAATTACAATATATTAGTATTCAACTTCATTGTAGAATGTAATGAAGTGTTTTTCTTTTTCAAAGGAAAGTTACTAAATATTAGTAATATTATATAATTTCGATTCAAGATGGGTTCGGAATATTCGTATAATATATAATATATATATATATATAATATATTATATATATAAGTATATATATAACACATATATATATAATAATATATATACAATATATATACATATATATATAATACATAATATACATATATATATATAATAACATATACATATATATACACATATATATATATATAATATATATACATAAACTATATATATACATATATATATATAATATATACATATATATATAATATATATATATTTTATAAATTTTATATACATATATATATACATATACATATATATACATATACATATATATACATATACATATATACATATATAATATATATATATACATATATATACATATATTATATAATAATATATAATATATACATATATATATATACATATATATATATATATATATAATATATATATACATATATATACATACCACAC